TATATATATATTTTTGTTAGTTCCTGACTAGTATGTTCTCCTCTAAGAGGTCTGTCTTGTGATTCAGACCTAACTGCAGAATGGAAGTTTAAAACAAACGGAGTTCTAACATTTCCCCCCAATCTGTTCTTACTTTTTATATTCAAACTTTGAAGAAAACTGTATGAATGTTAGCTTTAGTATTGATTCTTTAGATAACTAACTTCAATAACTTCTACTGTAGCAAGGACTAAGTGGTTTGTTATAACTTATGTTCCTCAAACTCTCCTGTTAATTAAAATTTCCTATTGAGAAGTGTAACCTTTGCAAAAGTACCTATTCAAATAGACAAAATACTTCATATTCCAGTGAGACTTCTATTTGTATTTGTCCATATTTGTGACATAAAAACAATCACTGGAGTATGGCATTGCAGGCTTCACAATTGCTGCCATGTTAGTGTAGTTGAGTAAAAAGGAGACCATCTATGTTGTTTAATAAGTTGTATTTTATGTGCCTTTGTAAGATTTTGAGAGAAAGCTGACAATATATAACTTAAATTTTGAGATACGTAAAAGCTAAAAACCTCTTTCTGGCCATGCCTTTATGGCTTCTAAAATCTGTACAAGGGAGAGAGGAGTTAAATGACTTTTGGGTCTGAATTAATTTTTTTGGTTGGCTAAATCTTACTGAAAATAATAGATTGGTCCCTGAGCTGCAAAAGACTGAGTGGAGAGGAGAGTTCAAATTATTAAATTTTCATTTTCATCTAAAACCTAGTTGTCCTGATAATTCAGTGCTATGCAAAAAAGATAATTGGCAACTGCTTAAAATGGCATATTCCTAAACCTGGTTTTGCCACAACAGGAAGCTAGTCTCATGACGTACTGTCTCTACTACTACAGTTGTTTGTGCAGAAGTGCTCTAAACTGGGTGGGAGCTTCTCAAATAGGATTTACTGCCAGAGGGGAGAAAAAGAACATGAAAATACAGGCTTAGTTAAATTTTTAACTTTTTTTTTTCCTAATACAGAGAGGTCTTCTGAGACTTTTTATATATTATAAAGATGGGTTAAAGAAGATGAGAAATGTTACTGAAACATTTTGCTTCACAGTTGGTTGACAATCAATTAGGATTTTGTTGTCACTGTGTTGCTCATATAAGAAACCTTGTTCCTTTAGATACCGCTCAACAAGGGTTGCTCTTGCTTTGGGGATGGTACGATCCCCCACTAGTGAGATAGCAGGATAAGCTGTTTCTGTTTTAAGCATGTCTATGCTGAGGGAGGCAGCAGACCTGCTTATACCAAGCCCAACACTATAGTATACCCCAGTAAATAATGCCTGTGCAGTAACCGTTGGGGAGAGGGGGTACCCTACCAGCTAAAACAGGGGAGCTGTTGCTGATACTAATGTTCATCCAGATGTTCTAAAAAACAATTGTCTATTGATTTGAGTAATATGTATGTTAGAGTCGAGTATTGTATAGCTGTTGTAAGTGGGCTACTTCTGGAACTTGGGTTTCTTGATCCTGGAGTTGTCATGTGCAGTGAATAAAAACAGGCTTATGAGATGAACGCAAAGTTCATTTATATCTTTAGGTCAAGTAACAGTATACGGAGAAGTTATCACTACTATTTTCTGCAGTGATGAGAAGTTTGTCATAATTTCCTTTTTTTTTTTTTCTTTTTCCTTTCCTTCTTTTTTTTTTGGGGGGTGAGTAGGTGATTGGTATAGTGGTCCTGCGGCAGATCTTGAGACAGAACCTGATGAGGAATGGGTGAAAAATAGAAAAGATGAAAGTCGTGCTTTCCAGGAATGGGATGAAGATGCTGACATAGATGAATCTGGTAGGTAAATTCAGATTTTGGTGATTCCCCGCACCCTCCCCCCCCGAACGTGACATAGCTGCAAGAAATAAATGTATAAATGGAGTCTTTTCTGTAAAATCAGTTTAAAGTACAGATTTTTTTTTATAGATTCTAGTACGTTAAAATAGTGACAAATGCAGTAATACTTATGTTCTGTGTAGATTAAATGCTTACTAAGCCAAGTAGACTTACACAGTAAAAAAGAACTTAGGACGTTTTGTCTAGCAACTACTTAAGGTTCCTGAAGGGAGTGTTCTTATTCCTCATCTTGATCTCATCCTGACTCCCAGCTGGATGGAAAAAAAAAAAAGGGGGAATGGAGGGCAAGGGGAGGGAGAAGCAGGCGGCTGGTTTTAATAAGCTGAACTAATTCATCTAGGAGAGAGCAAACATGAGTGCAGGTAGAAGAAGAGTTACAGGGATGTGTTGGGAGTTAGAAAGGAGGTAAAAGCTAAGCTTCATCTCTTCAGGAAGTTTGGATGAATCATCTTGCATCCTCGTGCGTTCTAGGCTTTAATTTAAAATTTGTCTTAAGCTGTTATATCACAGGATATGAAATGCTTTGGGAGATAGTATTTCAATGTATAAAGCAAGCTGGTGGAAACAGCTGCCCCAGACAGCCCTGAGCGGTACATAATCTGTAGTAAATATTTCTCCAAGTCCTTTAATGATAATCTTCTGTTAAGACTGTTTTTACTTGCCGTTAAGAGTTAAACTCTTCAGGACTGTCAGAAAGACAAGCAGATAGTTTCTAAAGATGATGCTTAAGTAGTATGTTGAGCTAGAATTCAGCAGAAGTTTGATGTAAGGTACTTTCTGAAACTTAAGGCCTTGTTAAACTTTCTTTAATTTCTCCGGTAACTTGTTTGATATAAGAGGGCAATGTGAATTCCAAATGACTCAAAGCATATTTTAAGTCTTTCTCTTTTGGTTTTATTTTGCAGAAGAAGCAGCTGAAGATTCACTTGCCATTAATATAGCACAAATGGAAAAACGTTTACTTCATGGCTTAATTCATAATGTCCTCCCGCATGTAGGCTCCTCAGTGAAGACATTAGTATTGGCCTACAGTTCTGCAGTGTCTAGCAAAATGGTATGTAATTTGAAACTGGTATTTAATAATTGTGGCTATGCAGCCTCTAATTAATAACTGCTGTGCCTGAGCTTAAAACACTAGTACTGAAAATGAGTTGCAGTTCAAGAGAATGTTAATTCGTATGTTGTTTCTTGACACTGTGTGCAGCCTTATTGGCTTGTGTCTTTGCTGATTATTTTCCTTTCCTTTTCCAGGCTAGACAGATCTTGGAGCTTTGCCCCAACTTGGAGCATTTGGATCTCACTCAAACAGATATTTCAGACTCTGCGTTTGAAAGGTTAGATAATTGTTTTTTCTTTTAGGAAAAAAAAATATCCAGCTTTTTGAGGGGGAAGAACATTTAAACATGTCTTAGTCCATTGCCAATAAAGAGAAAAATAGAGAAATCACATTCGGGATTCACACATAACTAAGAACTAAACCAGAGTAACAAATCAATGAAATAGCACGCAATATAACTTTGTAATGGCCATTTAAAATGCTCTGTCTTCACTATTGGATATTACCTATCAATGTGTAGCTATCCATAACAATAACTGTGTTTTGTTCTAGTGTTAACAACTTGAAATTGTCCATAGATTTTTGCAGAGTCACTCAGTTGTGGTAGTTCTTGGTCTGATATAGCTGGTAGTGTTTGGAGTACTGCTGTTTAAGACACTGATCAATTGGTGGGCAGAGCTCTAAAGCTTAGGTGTAGTAACTGTGGATTCCTGAGTTTTACTGAAGCTTGCAGAAATTTCATTGATGTCAGTGGGATGGTGCATGGATGCAGAGCCTGCACCAATGGGTCTTACTGTGATACTGAAACTCAGTGGCTGTTTCAGTGTTCAACACCTTCATTATACAGTGCTCTCAAGTTTTATGTGTTAACAAAACAGAAAATTTTACCAGCATGGATGCTGGTAACAGCACTCTGCAGCTTGTGCAAGAAGTTTTAGTTGGAATAAAAGCCTTATGGAATTTCTGTGGCTCAGAAATCAATCTTTGTGAGGTTTTGTCAATCTGTAGTGAAACATATATTATTTGCTGCTCCTTATATATCTGTATTTCCAACACCCCAATTTGTAACTCAAAAAATGAGTTTGGCTTGCTGTAAATATAAGTAATCGCTTATTGAAAGTAAATGATAGTTAACATTAACTATGGATAGGTAAAGGTCACTTAAATCAGCTATAATCTTTTATAGCTAATGTAACTATTACTGTAGATCAAATTTCTATTTCAGTTGAAAAAGGTAAGGCTGAAGGGGTGAGGTTTTGTTAATATGAAAAAGTCTGATTTCATTAACATCTCTAATCCTAATCACTTTTGTAGAATAATTAATACTATACACAGAATGTGTTTCAGGAATCCAGCTATTCTCTCTGAAAGAAATGGGAAATGACAGGAGGATAGATGATCTAAGTACACTGGTATTTCAATATGTATAAACAGCCAAGCTTGAGAAACTCAAATACTAGAAATTACAACTATTAAGATACTTTAAACTGAATATTACATCTCAGATGTTTTGGTTTTTCTTTTTTGGAGGGGTGAAGTTTGCTAGTTCAGTAGGTTCACTTTTTTCAGCCTTCTGAAGTTAACTGAGATGTCTAGTAACTTAGATGGCTCTTGGTAACTGCATTATACGCAACAGAAGCTGCTTTTTGAAATTGTTGTCACATGTATTTGGTGTTTGCAGTCTGATCTACTATTTAAAAATTTGTTCAATGTATGGCAAATTTGGACTTCTTTTAAGTCTCTGGCAAATTTGGACTTCTAAGTCTCAGTATATGGAAAAAATACAGGTTGTTACTGATTCATGATTCATGTCACATTTCTTTAGACATAATTTTTCTAGGCACATATGCAGCACTTGGAGTATCAAATCTAACCTGTCTCTGGGGTATTTTCTTTAAATATTCTGTGAATTAATATAAGTATTTTACTTATGAAATGTTCTTTTGTATATTTAGCCTTAACACCTGTTTCTGAACAAAAACTAACAAAAAAAACCAAACCAAAAAACCAGCCAACCAAACCACTTTTTTTCCTGATTTCAGTTGGTCTTCAGTTGGTTGTTGTCAAAATCTACGCCACCTTGATCTGTCTGGATGTGAAAAAATCACGGATATGGCTGTAGAGAGGATTTCCAGAGCACTGGGTATCATATCAACTCACCATAACAGAGGTATTCTGAAAAGCTGCAGAAACAGGAATGCTAAGACTTTGTGGAAAAACAGAGAGATTACTCTGCAGTCCAACAAGAAGTATAATTGTTTGCATGAAATCAATGATGAAAACCTCATTGAGGGAGGAGGTGGTGAGCAGCATTGGACTAAACCTGATGGCTCAGAAAACTTCAATTCTGCTTATGTGTGGATGCTAGATGCAGATGATTTAGCTGACATTGAAGATGCTGCAGAGTGGAGACACAGAAATGTTGAAGGATTTTGTCTTATGGAACCAACATCCCATATTAATTGTTCTGCATCTTGCTACAGTAGAGACATTTATGGATTAAGGACTAGAGGGTGGCAGCAGCACTGTGCTTCTACTGACTTGATTTACTGCGGTCACTCATTTTGTTGTGCTGGGACAGCACTAAGAACTATTCGAGCACTTCCAGAGTCCTCTGCACTGTGTAAAAAACCAACAAGGACTAAGCAGTCAGAGAAAAAAGACTCTGCATACTCTGGGAGTGAAAAAACAGATGAAGAGACTGCACGAGTTCTTCAGTTTCTCAGTCTGTCTGGATGTTACCAGATCACAGACCGTGCTCTCAGGTGAGGAGACATTTTTGAGCTATTTTGCTGCAGTATGTTTTTTCTAATTTTATTTGTTGGGTCATTTTGGGGTGAATCTGCCTAGTTTTGGTAGAAACATTTTTATTGAAGAAACTCTGGTAAGTTTTATGTGGTCTTTGCATCTTAAAATATCTATAGTACCAGATGTGAAAACTTTCTCCAGCTTTTTCTTTGCAGATTTAAAAAAAAAAAAATCTTTTAGATGTATCCTCTGAAGTCAAGTATTTTTGTGAATTTGTTGTTTTAGGCAGTATCAATGCTTTTAGATTTGATCTTTAGTGATTTTCTGTTAGGAAATTGTATTGATTCACTGACTTTTTTCATTATGCCTGTCAATACGCTTCAAACTTTTATAAAGTGTGGAGTAACATCTCATTTAACCTGTCTGGGTAATGACATAATTCATGGACAGGCTGGATTGATGGGCTGAGG